TGGTCTAAATCAGGGTAATTGGAGATATGAAAATAGAGGCTACTGAATTTAATTTGAGAAAATATTTATACTAAAATAAAAGTGTAAAAAAAAAAGGCTTCCTTTAAAGACTTACAAGTGGACACTTGGAAAACAAGAAATGTAAAATAACAGCATATCTTTAACCTGCCTGTTGTCTGAACGAGATCAAATAGATGGAAAAACTTGACAGTCCTTAAGTGCTCATTTTTTGAAAAAATGAAATATTTATTTGTACCTGCCATGTGCCGAGACCAAACGTGGTGAGAGGGACGAGCAGAAGACCCCATTTCAGCAAGGCATCCTCTCCAGATTTGCCAGCAGCTGCTGTAGAACTTTGTGGTCTGCAGAACCTCAAACAAACATCTACAGAAAACCAGAATGAGGAACAGGATTCAGAGAAGAGATGCTAAATTCCTGCAGGAAATACTACATCTTGGTACTAGGGTGAAACAGGGCAGAAGCCCAGACAAATATTTTCTTACCTTTAGTCTTTTGAACCAGACCAGAAGCTCCCTTAGTTAGAGGACATCCAAAAAATGTTCTTCTGATCAAGCACTGTGATGCCTACACAGAATAAGAAAGATCCTTTGTAATGTTGCTGCTTTATAAACCTTGTATTTAGGTGATATCAGCGATTGATGATTGTGTGAAATATTTTTTTATCCATTGATTTAAATCTCAAATAAACAACTGCCTGTGAAACACTATGGGTTAGGCTATAATTGAAATGAAATAAGGTAAAATTTCCGTTACAGAGCTGCCTATAGCAGAGCAATGAAGTTCTATCTATGCTATCAGCAAACACACAACAGCTTAATCTATTCTTGACAGAAACAAGGGCCTACAGGGGACAGGATCAGGGAGCTGAAACAGGGGACAGGATGAGGGGACTGGATCAGGGGACAGGAAAATGGGACAGGAGGAGGGAATAGGATCAAGGGACTGGATCAGGATGAGGGGACAGAATGAGGGAACTGGATCAGGAGACTGGATCAAGGGACAGGATGAAGAGACTGGATCAGGGGACAGGATCGAAGGACAGGATCAGCGGCTTACCCGTCCCGGCCCCGCTGCCCCGAGGCTCCCCGGGCCCCGCCGCTCCCTCAGCAGCCTGGGCCCCGCTCGCAGCACCAGCGCGGCCATGGCAGCCCCGGCCCGGCCCGGCCCGGCCCCGCTGCCCCCGCCCTGCCCGCGGCCCGGAACGGGAAACGCGCCCGGGCCCGGCCCCTCGCGATGGCGGCGCCGGGCCCGGGCGGCGGCGCGGCCGTGCCGGAGGTGCCCGAGGCGGAGCGGCTCTTCCTGAGGCAGCACCCGCTGCTCAGCCCCACGGGGCCGGGCAAGGTGCGGCCGTGTGAGGGCTGTGAGGGCTGGGGGGCACCGTCAGGGTCCTGAGGGGATGGGTCCATGATGGGCACGGCACCGCGTGGTTCCCGATGGGCTCAGCCCCAGCGAGCTCCTGCCCGAGGGGTTTGTCCAGCGCTGGTCTGTCCTGCAGAGCGCTGGTCTGGTCTGTCCTGCCCTCCCCAGCCCGGGAATGGATACGGGAAGGGTGATCAGACACTGGAAGGGGCTGCTCAGGGAGGTGGTGGAGCCCCCATGCCTGGAGAAGTACTGGACGTGGCACTGAGTGCCATGGTGTGGTTGACAAGGTGGGGATCGGTCATAGGTTGGACTCGATGATCTCAGAAGTTCTTTCCAACCGAATGGATTCTGAGATTCAGTGGGATAAACCCCTGGGTTTCCTGAGCATTAATGTGTTTTTCAGGTGAGGTGCAGGCTGACAGGACATGAGCTGCCCTGTCGCCTGTCGGAGCTGCAGGCTTACACCAGCGGCAAGAAGTACCAGCGGCTCATAAAGGCAGCCAGAGAGTTCGACTATGGCACGTTTGAGCCCCACATAGTGCCCAGCACGAAGAATTTGTACGTATTCTCCCTCCTGTGTGTTGTGCTTTACACTTTATTCAATCTCAGACATAAAGTGGTTGGGCTTTACAAAGTTTTAGGTCTTTATGGATTTGAGGAGACTGGGAAAGGCTTTATAAAGTGTTTATCAACTTTGAGCAACTTGCAGTGCTTGTAAGTGAAAAGTTCTGAAGTCACAGCACACTTTAACTCTGTTGCTGGTCCTTTCTGTGTCTCTCAGACACCAGCTGTTCTGCAAACTCACCCTCAGACACATCAACAAGCTTCCAGAGCACGTCCTGCGTCACGTCCAAGGGAAACGCTACCAGAAGGCCCTGAAAATGTGTAAGTAGCTTTTCTGAAGCTGTACCAGGCAGCATTTCTTTCCTGAGCTGTTGAGATTCCAGCCTCTCTCTGAAGTGGGTGGGATGGCTTTGTTTAAATTGACAGCAGTGTGTTACTATGTGTCCTCCTCAGCTAGGAAGGAAGGTCTCAGATGTAGGGGGCAATTGGCTTCTAGCAAATACCTTGGAACATCCTTCCTTAAGAGGATCAGCTCTGAAACTCCCCCAAGGAGTGATACATGTGTCCAGCAGAACCTGTGTTAACATCTTCCCTGGTCCATAGTGTCACTGTAGATGTGTAGTTCGAGCATGCTGGACTTTGGAGTTGCATTTCCTACAAGCTTGAGCTGGGAATGAGAGGATTCAGGGCTGGGCAGCTGATCAGTGCTGCCTGACCCTCTCTCTTAGATGAGGAATGCCAAAGGGAAGGAGTGGAGTACGTCCCTGCCTGCCTGAGACAGAAGAAGCAGCGGGCACAGCACCCTGATGACCAAACAAATGGGAGCAAGCAGGGTCACAGGAAAGAGGAGTTCTGGGAGCCAAAGTCCAGCGAGGAGGATGGAGAGGACACAGACGACAGCATGAGTGACCTGTACCCACGTGAGTGAGAACCTTGGTGTCATCCATGTCCTCAAGGGAGTTGCTTGTTTAATTGTCTCCTGGTTTCTTTACACTGCTGCCTGATGCTGGTGTGCCAGAGGCACCTGACTTCATCCAGCTGGGAGTCCTTGGGTTTTGGAAAAGCTTACCTCCACCAAATAAGAAATAATTAATGCTAATAATGAGTTGGATCATGCAAGGTCTGAGGGAAGGGATACAAGATCTTCTGAGATTTGCTGTTTTAGGAGTCTCCACTTTCCATGTTTCTCAGCAAATCCTTGACAGAAGGTGGTCAGGCTGTTACAAGATGGTGCAAATCCATCTTGTAACACATGGCAGCACCTGTGCTGACATTCCCAGAATGGGAACAGAAAGAGCACCAAGGCACATTTCCAATAAAACACCAGCATGTTTATTTCCTAAGTATTTCAGTAGTGACACGTGGTGACTGGAAGCAGCTTTAAAGCAAAGTGAGGGGAGGCAGAGCCTGTGTGCACAGGGAACTGATTTTGAGCTGAATCTTTTTTAGCTGCGCTCTTCCCAGAAAAAAACCCACCAGCTGCAGAGAGCACAAAGGGCAGCGATGACTTTGTGACAGACAGCGAGGACGATGGCACCAAGCAGAACGGAGAGCACGGGGCAAGGAGGGACAGCAGCAGAGCAGCTGGCAAGAGAGGAAAGGTGGGAGTCATGCAGTGCCTGCAGCAGCAGGGGGTGTGGAGCTGGGATCCCAGCCTGTAGGTGTGCCAGCTATTCCTGTCTGGGAGCCAGCAGAAGGTGCAAAGCTGTTCAGAATAGATTTTTCCCTGTGTGCCAGACAGTGACTTGCATTCTGAGGTGTGAATTCCTGCCATATTTATGGCAATATTTATCCTGGCTGGGGTAGTGAGGGATGTTCCTGCCTGTACAAAGAGCTCATCTAGGGTGGGATCCTGCCCCACACCATTGTAAAAGGAAAGCTGATGTGTGTCCTCTGGGTTCTGTAATTGTTCTTCAAATACACAAAAAAATTTAACTGTTTTGCAGTCACAGAGTCCCTCTAGACCATTTTCCTGCCACTTCTGAGGCACTGCCTTACTATATAAATGTGTCAGAAAGTTAAGGCTGGATAAAGTTAGGATTCATTGCTGCAGGGAGCCTGTCAGTTTGTACCTAATGAAACCATCAGAAAGGGCTGCTGAGCTGCAGGATCCTGGCTCCATGAGCAGACTTGGGCTCATGCTGGCTGTTGAAGGAGATCACACTCAGTTTCTGTTTAAGCTGTCTCAGGCAAGGCTTGATCTGCATGTTGGAAATAAGCTGATTAACTTTTTTTTCCCCTACAGAAACAGACAGGCCCTTTAAAGAAGAAATTCAAAAGCCATCATCGAAAACCCAAAAACTTCAAGAAAGCAACCAATGGGAAATAAATTTTATGATAAATACCTGGACTGAAGTCTGTTGTGTAACAATTCCAGTGGGAGTACAGGATGAAGTGTCTGCTCATTCCAGTTAACTGTTAAAGGTGTGGAGGGGAATAATGGGCTGGAATTAAGTGGAATTCCAAGAGCTTCAAGCCAGTCCCACACTGAGGGAAGGATGTCTGCTGCAGTCAAGTCCAGGTAGCAGAGTTTTTTACAGAAAGCTGGTTTTTCTTAGGCAGGAAAGCACAGCAGCTCAGCTCAGTTTTTTACAGAAAGCTGGTTTTTCTTAGGCAGGAGAGCACAGCAGCTCAGCTCAGTTTTTTACAGAAAGCTGGTTTTTCTTAGGCAGGAGAGCACAGCAGCTCAGCTCAGTTTTTTACAGAAAGCTGGTTTTTCTTAGGCAGGAAAGCCCAGCAGCTCAGCTCAGTTTTTTACAGAAAGCTGTTTTTTTCTTAGGCAGGAAAGCCCAGCAGCTCAGCTCAGTTTTTTACAGAAAGCTGTTTTTTTCTTAGGCAGGAAAGCCCAGCAGCTCAGCTCAGTTTTTTACAGAAAGCTGGTTTTTCTTAGGCAGGAAAGCCCAGCAGCTCAGCTCAGTTTTTTACAGAAAGCTGGTTTTTCTTAGGCAGGAAAGCCCAGCAACTCAGCTCAGTTTTTTACAGAAAGCTGGTTTTTCTTAGGCAGGAAAGCCCAGCAGCTCAGCGGTGGAGCATCACCAGCCACACACGCCAGGTGGATACAAAGATGCCATTGTTTTATTTTGATTGTTTTCAAAAATCAAAACATTTTCAAACACAACTAAGGTACAAAATACAGCATAAAATGAGAATTTATACTTATTTCTTTTTTTTTTTCCACATAGAAAGCAAAAATATATTTAGAATGAATTCCAGAACACTTTGCAGAGCCAATTGGTAGCTGACATCCTGCTTGTGAGAGCTTCTCAGCCACAGGGAGAGGTCACTGAATTTCTGGGAGATGCACAAGTACAGCAGTGTATGTAGGAAAACCAGAATCTTCTGCATCAGGACTCACAGTTAAGTCTGCACATTGTGCTGCCTAGAAGTATCTGATAATGCCCTCCACCTAACTGTGCCCCTGGAATACTGAAGGGGACAGCAACAGTTCCTTTTCTAGGGTCTTTTGTTGGAAAGGGGACTTGATTTTTGCAGAGGAAACTGGTCAATATTTCAGACTAGTCTGTCATCCAGCTCCTTAGTTAGACAGGACACAAGGAAGTTGAGAAAGACAAGGGGCTATGGCAGGAGTAGTTTGTGTCATTTATAAATACTATGAACATCAACAGCAGTTCAGGTATCTGAGAGTGGCTGCCTTGATCAGTCTAGAACCGTTGTAAGACCTGCAGTGGAACAGTGAAAATCTCCTGTGCTGCAGATCTGGGACTGAAAGGACCAGTTTGTTTAGCCAGGAAGAGTCAGGAAGACAAAACACTTTGAGCTGAAGACTTCTCTTGCAAAACTTCCTTGGAAAAAAAGCCATCAGTGACCTGACCTTAATGCTGAATTCCCCTCCCATCAATCTGGAGATGGGGGTTGGACTAATGATCTCCAGAGGTCCCTTCCAACCCTAACTATTCTGGGATAGCAACTGGTTTCCTCCAGCAGCAGCACATCTTGCCCTTACAGAGGCTATTATCCCCTTAGGATGATGAAATCACTGGTTTAACTTTCAACAGTGCTCTTCTATTTTTCATTAGTTCTTTCAGCCCAGTTTTCTCTCTTAAAAAACAACTGTTTAACTGAACTGTCCAGGTGAGTGTCCTTATCAGGAGAGCCTGGGGAACAGCTCCCACTGGAGATGTTCAGCTGAATTCCTCCTTGAACAAAGAGCTGAGCATCTTCCTCAGGGGAGGCAACAGAGCAAGGAATCAGTGTAATGGCAGGAAGTTGGTAGGGCTCATGCTGTCTAGAATTCCTCCACAATCTAGTGAAACAGGTTCACACCTAGTTGACTAAGAGAGGACAAAAAGCCTCCCCTGAGCAGCACTAAGCATGGTCATGGCACAGAGGTTGTGGCACTGAGAAGCCAAACAGGGCCTTCCTCTCCTCACCCTCCCAAGCTCCCCCCAGGGAAGGTTCACCCCTGGCTGTTTCTTCACTGCCCAGGCTTTGCACTCACATTGCTCAGCTATAACCGTTTGCAGAGTTGGGAACAGGGGCCACTTCCACCCTTCCACCCTGCACAGCTCAGGGTGCTCTGAGGTGGCAGAGGAGGAGGGGCTGTCCTGGAGAGCTCAGCAGCCCAGCTCTTCATTCAGCTGGGACTCTCACAGCCAAGAGACTGCCAGAAGTGAATCTAAGAAGCAAAGACTACAGATTAGGAGATTGACTGCTCTCATCTGGCAAGAACTGAGTGCACAGAAAAGGGGAGTTTCTGTAATTCTCAAGACATTTTCACCATTAACCTGCAATTCAAATATGAATTTGGGGTATATATGGATGGAAGCTGGTTAATAGCAGAAAGGAGCTTTTATTATGGAACCTGCAGCACAATTTGGCTCCCTTCTTGGGAATTCAGGAGGGGCAACTTTTGGGGAAAGAATGTAGAATAAAGAATTCTTTTGGCACAGAAATTTCACAGAATCTAATGTTCTGTCTCTTCAGGATTATCTCCCCCACTTCCTTTAAATCTGATTAGCAATACAGGATTCATGATTAACAATACAGGATTTCCCCTTGTTCCCCTCAAGGGCAGAACTGGGACATGTTAGAAAATCCTCTCCCTTTTCTTACCCAGAAAGGAATACAACTACTTCCAGGGTTTTCTTTTTTGCCTTCTGTTCAGGAGCAGGAAAGACCCTTCCCTGCTGAACAAAAGGGAATTACAGGCCTCTGAGCAGCAAAATAACAGTGATTTTCTAGGTTTTCTTCGATGCTGCTTTCCACCTTGATAAGCAATGCTATAACCAGCCATGGAACTCCTTAAGCACAGGACAGTTTTGATAAGGGCAAGAAAGGGGATCCACTTTTTTAGTTATAGCTACAACCCAACACCACACTGAATGATCCAGCTGTGTCTGCTCACCTTTCTGCAAATTTTAAGACATTGCTGACATTCCAGACAGCAACTGTTCTACTGCAATTCACTGAAGCATCAGCAAAATGCAGGTTCCTTGGGTTAGTTCCAAATCTAGGAAGTTAGAATAAGCCTAGGCAACATTCCTTGAAGAAACAGGATTTTATCTATTGTATTACTGGTGCCACAGTAAATCAAATTCAAAACATCTGTGCCTTTTATAGGAAGGGGGCATGTACGTGTAAAATGCTGGCAGTTTTTGTTGAATCCATAGAGAATCAGTTCTGGACTTAGTACAGTATGTCCCAAGAAGTGTTGCTATTCCTGTTACCACTCTTTTTTCTTCTCATCCATGGAGACTCCACCAGGACCCAGTGCAACCACAAGGAGGAGCCCTCCAATGACAGACATGGTCTGGAAGAAATCGTATTTGAGGAAGTCGTGCATGGGCTTGTAGGCAGGGACGGTCCAGAAGGCATTGAAGTAGATGTTGATGCCAAAGAGCCAGATGACCAGAGTCAAGGCAGCCAGCTTAGTCTTGAAGCCAATTGCCACCAAGATAATCAGGGCTGTGCCCACAATGTTCTGCAGAATCTGCAAGGAAAAAAAGCCATTAAAAAAGCCATTTACTTACACAGTTCTTAAGTAAATACACTAACATCAAAATAAAATAAAAATATTTTTATTTTTATACAGCAGAGCAGAGTTTTTAAATAGATACCCCAAAGCAGAGCTTGGATAAGTTCAGTTGTCATGGCACATGGTAACCTAATAATATTTTCTAAAGTATTAATTTTTGTCACAGACGTATTTTATGAAAAATCTTTTTGCTAGGATCCTTTCTCCTGAGAAGCTGAGAGGCCTCAGAAATGAAATGTAAACAATGGTTATCTGCTGCTATGGAATGCAACAGGTGCATCTGTGATTGGTCTCATGTGGTTGTTTTTAATTAATGGCCAATCACAGTCCAGCTGTCTTGGACTCTCAGATCAGTCACAAGATTTTATTATCATTCCTTTCTATTCCTTTCAAGCCTTCTGATGAAATCCTTTTTTCTATTCTTTTAGTATAGTTATAATATATAATTTTCTTTTAATATAATATATATCATAAAACAATAAATCAGCCTTCTAAAACATGGAGTCAAGATTCTCATCTCTTCCCTCATCCTGGAACCCCTGCAAACACCACCACAAATTTTAATTAGAGGTTTCAATAAGCATTGAGCAGATCCTGCAGCCCACCTGGGCACTGGTGCTACAATCCAGTTGCTCAATTCATACTTTAATGCTGAGATACTTACAGAAAAGAAGTTCATGTCAAAGTGTAGCAGTGTCATGAACATGAGGACAAGCAGCACACGTCCCCCCAGCTGCATGTACTGCTTTGGGGAGCTCTCCCTCATGGTGGGGACACCAGCAAACATGCTCTTCCCCTCCGAGCGGGACTCGGCCAGAAGCAGCAGCAAGCCTCCCCCAAGGGCAAGATTCCTACACAAATGGGAAAAAAGAAAAAAAAAGCAGTTTAGTACAGCTTGCACTGATCTATATCTGTAAAGTCTTATCTGACAATTTCAGTGAAGATCTATGTGAGAGTGAGGAGTGGCTTGCTGTGCCCTGTGGGATGTGTTGGGTCTGTGTCAGGCTTCCCAGCCCCAGCAGCACTGAGCACAGCCAGGATTTGTGGGAACACAGCCTGCCAGGGAAGTCCAGCACCCACCACTCAGGCACAGTTGCTTCAGGGGCTGTTACAACACGAATTTCGTTGTGTTCAAGTTATTCTGTACCTCAGGTTTAGCCATATATGCCAAAATAGTTCAGAGGTTGCTTTGAGAAAACAGAGCAGCAGCACTGCTGAAAAGTTACACATTGACAGGGCTGTAGTAAGCCCAGAGTGCAGCTCTTGTGCTGGCCTCCCCTCAGAGGGGTGCAAAGGCAACAGCCAGCCATCACTCAGGGCCTGACAGGAAAGCTCAGGTTTGTAATCTTGTCTTCTCCTTAGGGAAGGTGTTAAGAGGTTTAAAATCGCAGAAACCGCTCCAGTGACCACATGCTGTAGTTTTCACAGAAAATGGCTTCAATCATGCAGAAACAGAGTTGCTATTTTAGCCATTTAGGAAATAAAAGCAACTCTGATCAAGTGTAGACAGTTGGTTGAGCTCTCAGCCAGGTTAGCAGCAGAAGCACTTGGATCCTAGAGGGTTAGGATTAAGTCTTTCCCTTCCTGAGCCTGCTGCCTACTGTTTAACACCCTGATTTTTTCAGGAACTATCATTTCTTCTTCAATGTAAATGCATCACTTGTAAAATCTTTCTAGTAAATATTATGTACAAATGTCACTTCCTCTGCCCCCAAGTGTCAGTTTTCATTCTGTTTCCATAAAAACTTCCAGAAGCAGGCATACCTCATCAAGAACTTCAGGTCCCATAGAATGCTGTATGCAATAGTCTAGGCAAAGAATAAAACAGGTTAAAGCACCATATAAATGACACTGAAATTCTGAATTTCTGTTACAACCTCAAGTCTGTATCAGCCACAGCAGAATTTGATTATAAATACAATATAAAGGTAATTACATCAGTGTGGTAATGAGTCCATGTAACACAGGGAAGGGAAGGGAAGGCAGAATTGGATTTGTGCTTTAGGACCCCTCAGAATTCCCTCATTTTGTAGGGGAAGGATGCTACTAGATAGGGTCCTTTGTGATGGGAACACAGCTGAAGGCCAAAGCAACTGCAAGTTCCACATTTGGCTCATTAACTGACATCCAGGTAAATTGCCAGTTACTTCTGCTAAATTGGTCAAGGTCAAGTATTGAATGAATGTCTCCAAGCTGACTAATTGCAATTACATCTATTGGGCACATCAGGAGAACAGAAGCAGCAAAATAGTTCAATGCCATCAAGGACTGGCACTAAGCCAGGGTGGAGAAAAATTCCAGGCTTGCAAGTTATATTTAAACATGTTGGGAGTACTGGGGCTAAGAGAGATTTGAAAAGTACAGTTTAGAAGGGATGAAGATTTAAGCCTCCTACCTGTAATGCTATAATTCCAAACAGTCCAAAGCAGGCATATTGCACAAAGTTCCTACTCAGCACCAGGATACAGCCACCTGAGGTGGGGAAATTGAACACAGTTACACTTGGAAAAGCTCCTGCAGGAATGCCAACTTGGATTTTCCTTTCTCTTTTGTGAAATAACTGTTAGGGCCATCAAGCTGTATTCCTTTTCCTTAAAAGGATAAAACCCAAAACCTTTCTCAAAACTTCCATCAGAAAGCACCAACAGCCTTTGTCACTTTAACATGAGGACTGGCAACTGCATTTAAATTAAGGTGACTCTCTACACAAAATAGTGAGGGCAAAAAACCTAAATCAAGACACAAAATAGGAAATTGGCAATCAGGAACAGTAAATCAGGGACACAATATAAACAGAACAGGATTTTTCTTCTCTCCTGAAGGAAAGGCTGTTCTGACAGCCTGAACCCACCCAGCAGTGCACTCCTTCTGGGATTATTTTGATTGCTGGGTTTTGGAAAAATTCCTGACACAAGCACCTCACTCGGGCTTAAATGCACCCTCTCCAAGGTAAGATTTTGCCTTGGATATGAATGCCCATAAAACCAGGAGGCTGAGAAAGCCTCAACATTGCCCTGTTTAAAAGAACAGGAGTATTTAATTTAGAGCACTCTGGGTGTGGCTTACATGGATGCATGTACAAAACTGAAACCAGATTGACCTGATGGATTCTTGGCATCTCTGACTCAGAGGCAGTGTGTCACAAGAAACTCTCTATGACTGCTTCCAGGAAAGGCTGAAGCAAGTCAGTTCAGAGCTCTTTTCATTCAGCCCATGTAGTACTATCAGGAAATCAGCAAGCCATCCCACACTGCCATGATTAACAGGGCTTGCAGCCTGCACCTGAACAGCCCCAGAGCCACTTACTCAGCTGCCCAAAGAGGTTTATGATGACAAAGATGGAGGCCAGGAAGTAGCCACAGTTCCACGTGCCATCGATGTAGTCCCTCTGCTCGCTCCACTGGAACCACATGCGGATGCCATCCTCCAGGAAGGTGCTGATCAGGCACAGCCGGGCCACGTGGGGCAGGTACTGCTTGGTCACCCTCAGGAACTGCAGGGGCACACAGGCCATGAGCAGGGAAAGGGACACTGCAGGGACAACACAGCCCTGCTCTCTGCACACTGAGATCAGCAGTTCTCACACACTCAGGGTCACCAACATCCAGAGAGAAACTGGGACTTGGATTTAATGAAATGCTTCTTCACACACTGGGAGCAGCAGGGGAAACCTGTTGGCATTCTCCACTGGACTAGGAGTTGGAAAAAAGCACAATCCAGCAGCACATTTCTGTGTAAAAGGAACTGTGCTTTGATGGAGTTCTGGCTAATGAAGGCTGACCTTGGTTTTAGTTTCTCTATCTCAGGGTTTCATGTTACAGCACAGCTATCAGATAGCCCAGAGCTGAAAGGGCAATCCTGCTCCCACCCCTGTGCTCAGGCACTCAGCACCCTGAACAACCCAGATTCAGGGAGCCAGGCTGAGAGAAGACAAGTTCTGTACAAATTAAAAAAACTCATTCCCTCCAACAGCTCAGTGCAAACAAAGCACAGGTACTTGAGCAGCAGCAGATCTTAGCTCCACAAAACCACTGCATGGAACTGCACCCTCTGTCCTCTAGGTAGGTTTTTACTTCTATTCAAAGGAGCATCTTCTGCAGAAAGGAAATAGGTTTATAGCCACAGTTCAGTGCAGTGGTTAAAAGGAAATGATATCATCATGCAACAGATGCTGAGCTATAGTTTTTGGGAATGGAGGATGTATCTGGACACCCTTCATCTTGCAGGCTCCTGGATGAGTTTGCTCTGCAATTACAACAATTAAAGGAACAAATACAAAATTTCCAGAGTCCAGAGGGTCATGTTCTATAGGGCTGTGGGGTGCACAGGAAAGCTTATTGCCTCTGGGTTAGAACAAGTGTCTAATTGTCAACCCATTTTCTAGGCAGTCCTGGTTATTACTTAATTGAGACTTCCAGCAGGAAGGAGACAAAAGCCACTTCTGACAGTTTATTCCTGCCAGCAGCAATCAGTCAATACTAAAAGCTATGCAAATGACAAGCCTAGCTCACTGTGCAATTACAGATTATCACAAGAAAAAAAATCAGCAAACATCCTTAATGGTCAATTAAATAGTTAATATTGGAACAAACTGCACTGTTGCACTACCTGTATCCAGAGTCTAAGGGTCGAAATTCACCTTAATCAAGTGCATTTAAGTGCAGCTGTACTCTGCCTCCTGAAGGCTGCCACTTCAGGCTTTTTTAAGCCATGTCAACAGTTGGATGAATGAGTCAGAAGAGAATTTCTGATCTTTGTCACTCACTGAATGAGACACACATCTTGGTTTACAGCTTTCCTCCCTCCTGGGTTTCACTGTGAGGTCGAGGAAACTTGCTGAGGAATACTAAGAATAAACTTCTTACAAACAAGAAGTTGTTTGTAAGATACAGAACAAAAAACTTTGGTCTAGAAAGAAATGAAAGAAGACAAGTGCTGGGGATTTGTAAGGAAAGGATAAAAACAGTGATGTGGAAAGGCTGAAAAATGCAGCAAATAGAGAACATCTTCTTCCAGGCCTCATCTTTGCTGTTTTGAAGTGGAGTTGACCTCATTTCCCCCTTCCACAGAACCATGAGGAGCACAGGTGAAGGATCCAAGAAGACATTTAACATTTACCTGTTCTCTTGGCACACACAGAGGGAATTTAACACTGGCCATTAAACACGAGTGCACACATCCAATGGGCTCCAGACAAGTCAGAAAAGCTGCAGCCCATGGCTGCTCCAGTGCTAAGCAACCTCAGAGCACACACATCAGCCCTGGGCACCCACAGCTCCTGGAGCTGCACTCAAATTGAAACCCCTGCACACAGCAAACTCAAATAAGCTTCAGAAACAGCCTGTGGGGAAAGAAAGCCAAGCCAAAGGAGCCAGGAGATCCAGAGGGAAAGGAAGAGAACAACCACACCACAACTATAGGAAGAGAATCTTAACAGGCATCAAATGATCTCACAATTAGAGGATCTGGGTGTAAATCACTCAAGTAATTTTTACCTAAAGGTGGAATAAATGACAAGAAACAGGAGAGCTCCAGCAGTGGGACTCAATGAATAGCACCCTGGGTTTGGCCCTGCACAGCAGCAGCACTGTGTGGCTCCAAAGCTGCACCCTGAGTCCACTTCCTTTAAGATTCACACAGATAAAGTGGCACACATGGGAAAATTGCAGTTTGATATGTCCAGCTAAGAAATGGGACCTGAAACACACCCTGCACTGAGCACAACACACCCAAATCCAAATCCACTGATGGAGGTGGCAGCATTAAACTCACAACATTAAAAAACTGCAGGGCTTTTTCTGCTCTGGGCTTTGCATCAACTGCTCTCCACATGTCCTGTCTCCTTGGAAGAAGTGAAACATCATGAGGAAAGACAAGAAAATGCTAAATAAAACTATTTTAAAGAAGAACAGCTGGTTCTGTGCTGGCAGCCAAGTCACTGACATATGCCAGAGGGGCTTTGTGTTGCCACTTCCCCCTCTAATGGGATTAGGAAGGCAAAGATAGATTTAAATGCTCCTTTAAGTTTAACAACCAAAGATGCACAAGAAGATCCAGGGATCCCTTAATCAAAGCTCTGCTCAACCCCCCCTTTTTCTAAAGGGAGACTGAAATTTTCAAACCCATAAAGGCCTGACCAAAAGAGAGGCAATAAAGTGATTCATTTGGTCCCAACCTCCAACAGTTTCAAATTTGCTGAAAGTCCACTCTGTTTTGATAAAAGTGTATAAACCATGGTACAATTACAGGTATTTCAAGTCCAATAAACGGACATGAGTTGGGAATTTTTGCAGGTATATTCTGTCCAGGCACAAAGGTTTTTCCTGTGTATTCTTGGATCAGTGAAGTTCTGATTGTGGTGAGGAACAGCACATTGCTCATCTAGACAGAAACCCTCCTGAGCTGCACAGCATTATTGGTCTACAGCTTCTGGTAAGGCATATCCCAAATATCTTGAACACTTTTAAGGGATTGCTTTGTTCTGGGAGAACAAATTCCTCCAGCAGCCTGGGACACCACTGACCATTCCTGGAAAAGGGTGCTCAATTCACAGAGAAAAACAAAATCACTTTCTTTCACCAGCTTTGATACATTCACTCCAAGAGATCCCACCCCAAAATCATAGGGACAGCAAACCCATCACATTCATTAGCCCAGAGCCTACAAATACTGTAAAAAACTGGGAACAGGCTTTCCCATTTATTTCCAAAGGCAGGAAGAGGGCTCTGACCCACTATTGCCAGCAATATTAATTAGGTTTTTAATTGCAGGAAGATTTCTCAATGCTCTTCCCTTCTGAAGTGTGCTTTGTACCAATTCCCTTTTCCAAAAGGCTATTTATTAATGAGACCTTTAAAATGGTACTTTTAGTAATTTATTGCATTTTACTATCATTCTTAATGGGAAAATTTTTCCTCAGCCTAACCAGAACAGGCTACTTGGCTTATAATGATAAACAATCAGTGCATTGCCATGACAAAGTTCTAGAGAATATTTCCAAATTCAGTTTTTTTTTAATCTAACTGACAAAGTTCAGAGTAACAATGAAATGTTCTCTTCTCCCTTCCATTTTCTGCAAAATAGGATATTGAGGACAAGAAATAATGGGCTCAAATTGAAATGTAAGCTGGAAATTAGGGAGAAATTCCTCCCTGTGAGGGTGGGCAGGCCCAGCACAGGGTGCCCAGAGCAGCTGTGGCTGCCCCTGGATCCCTGGACAGGGCTTGGAGCAACCTGGGAGAGTGGAAGCTCCATGGCAAGGGGCAGAACAAGAAGGGCTTTAAGGTCCCTTCCAACCCAAATGGTTCTGTGATTCTATATCAGAATTATCTGGACAAGACAGATCAGCATTTATCTTGGAAAATGAAATGAACTCCCCCAGTCTGGCTCTCCCTGCAGCCCTCTCACTGCTGTGCAATGACTCAATAGTCTCCTTGCATTTTTGTTCAGGAATCTTTTTTTTTTTTGAACAGCAGAAATACCAAGCACCCACATTCCTAAGGATTTATTCCTACAGATTATTACAGACACTAGGAAAGTTGCCTGAGATCTGCTCCCTCTTAGGAAGGGATTACAAAGGAGAGACAATCCTAAACACTCTCTGCAGGCCCCAGACACTGCTATTTTCAGTACTTGGTGGCTCCACTGAAGGGGTTGCCAAGTAATACTTTAACAAAATCACTAAAAATCAGCTTAATTTCTGAGTATGTAAATTACTGAGTTAGTAGCACTGGGCTGGTGTTAGTGTCCCCTCACTGCAATTCCTTACAGCTCAGAGCAGCCTTTTACCAGCAATCTCACCCCCAGTACTGCCTCACTCCACCTGAACATGGAGATAACTGAACCAAGTGGAAAAAAAAAATCCTCAAATTTTTCTCCTGCCATTTCAGCTTCCCAGTTCAATGCCACAAGTGCTGGTGAGAGGGAAAAGGGGAATGTAGCCTTGGGAGAAGTAGGACAAGCCCTTTCACTGACAACTGGCTGTCTGGCAAGCTTAGCTGCCTGTGAGCCAGTGCACAGTTCACCTCTGGATTAACAGCCACTTACCACTGCTGAGCATCTTGGCATCTAGGGCATAATTTGTTAATTCAAAGGGAAATTACAGTATCTGAGAAAAGCTAAGCTTTACTGTTTGAATTTAAGGAACAGATTATTCTTGCTTTTGTAAGAGACATTCAGGATTTGCTGATAAGCCATGGAATTAACTCTAACAATTCTCCCACAGGGGTTTTATGCTACAGAAATTAAGACTCATTATGTGTTGAGCACTAGTACAGAGAGTGGAAAAAGCAAGAACATCAGTGAGAATGCATTCAGCTCCCAGAACAGCCATTGTCCAGCCTCCACCAGGGGAGTTTCAACACAATTTCAGTCCAAACATTCCAAGTACTTTTTTTAATCCAAGATGAACTAACAGCTCCTGTAATGCCAAGTGTTAACTTCACAATATATACCAAAGGTTAGTGTTTAGCAAGTCACTCCTACATTGGTGTGACACTGAGCTTTAGCAGCACAGACAGCACTGAAAGGTTCTGATTGAGCTACCAGGCAGAATTATCAGAGGAGTTATTACTCAGAACACCATAAAAATGCTTTTGCAATCTGCTAGTAAGAGGAGCAAAACTCTAAATTCTGCAGCTTAAGGCAAGACTCATCTTTAAACAGGATGTGGCCAAGCACAAGTGAATTTGTGCTATTTAAAACTCACTTCAGGAGGAGGCAAACTACATTTAAGCTGGACAGAAGAGCTTTCAGCAGAGTGAAAAAAGGGGTGTTAAGGACATCTAGAAATAACCCCAGAGGAATAAATAGAGAGGTGTTATAAAAAGGTCAGGACAAGCGTTGCAAATTTTGGCAAGAAATGTGAACACTGCAGTGATGGTTTACTTTCTTCTCTAAAAGGAGCAAGAGGACAAGATAAACAGAGAATGACCAAGATAATCTAGATATCCCTTAAACTGAATATTCCACACACTACAAAAAGCTTTAATCTAAAACTCTAAATCGACTTTTCCTTCTTCCATCTGGGGGTGGGGAGGAAGTGCAGAACAGGTTTTCCCAGTGAAATCAGTGAAAGACAGAGGCAGCACAGCCCCCTCAGAGCTGTGACGTGTTATTGTGCACCACACAACTCACACTAAATCACAGTGGTTGTAGAACCAGGCAGAATCAGATTTTCCAGCCAATTTGCTGAATGTGATTACTTGCTGCTTCTCATTGTCGATTAGATGAATCACCATGACTGTGAAGATCTTTGCAACACCATCCCCAGCAGAGCAACTACTTACACTCAAAATAATCCTGTTGTCAGACATTGTAAGAGATCACAAACTTCTATTTAACAGAGAAATCACTCGGGCCTCCACTGAAATAAACGTAAGAAGGTTTACAAGACAACATCAGCTTGTTTGCTTTCCTTTTGCCCCAATCCTGAGCACAGCACCACGGTGCTGACCAACCTTTTCCAGTTTGTGCTTCCAGAAATACATCAGGGTTTCACAAAATCACAGAATGGTTTGGCTTGGAAAGACCCTAAAGCTCATTTTGTTCCAAACTCCAGCCATGAGCAGTGACACCTTCCACTAGCCCAGGTTGATCCAAGCCCTGTCCAGCGTGGCCTTGAACTCTGCCAGGGATCCAGGGGCAGCCACAGCTTCTCTGGGCAGCCTGTGCAGGGCCTCCCTACCCTCACAGGGAGGAATTTCTCCCTAACATCCCATCTAACCCTGCCAGCTTGGCTAACCCGGGCACTCTCCCATCCCTGCCAGCTCACACCGGTCCCCCACACCCCTCTGTGCCCTCTCCACCGGCCGGGACGGCTCCTGCTCCCCTTCCATTTAATCCCTCCCGAGAGAAGCGCTGTCCCCAAGGAGAATTCGCTGTCCGAGAGGCTCGGGCGCTCCCCCGAGGGCAGGGGCGGCCGCTGGGCCTGCGGCGGTGGGAGCCGGGCCCGGGGTGCCCTCGGAGACAACTTACAGGAAACTTACAGGAAAGATGGAAAACAGAAACAAGTAGTGAGAAGGCAAAGTAGACCAGCTACAAACCGAAAGAGAAGAAACTCAGGCTGGCTATTGGGAAGGAATTCTCCTCTATGAGGCCCTGGCACAGAGAAGCCGTGGCTGCCCCTGGATCCCTGGCAGTGCCCAAGGCCAGGCTGGACCGTGCTTGGAGCAGCCTGGGCCAGTGGAACGTGTCCCTGCTATGGCAGGGCTTGAACGAGACGATCTTTAGGATCTCTTCCAGCCCAAACCTCTCCATAGCTCTATAATTCCATAGACCCACCGCCCCGCCGCAGCGCGGCCCCGAGGCGGCAGCGACCCCGCCGCCATCCCGGCCTGCCTCAGCCGGGCCCCTCAGCGTGGCCCCGCCGCACAAAGGCCGCCGGGCGGGCGCGGGGAAGGCAGGCGGGCACGCACCTGGTCGGCGAAGTCCTCGGCGGTGTTCATAATGTCGTTGTGGCCCATGGCGGGGCCCGGGCTGGCTCGGGGCGGGCGGGGCGGTGGCGGGGCCGGGCCGCGCTCGGTGCAGGCGCTGCCACGTCGGACGGGCCGGGCCTTGAAGGCGCCGCCGCGCCGGCGCGCGGGGGGCGGGGCCTCCCCGCCGGGGCACGCCCTCCGGACACGCCCCTCAACGCTCTTAAAGGAGCCGTGCCCCCGCCGCACTCTTGTGTGAGAGGGGGTCTCACGCCCCCGGGGCCGCTGCCCCGCGGTCCTGGGTGGGAGGCCGGGCTGTGTCCCTGCCATGGAAAAATATGAGGTGTTGCCCTCAACTCAAGCTCTGCCTGGCAATAAGCAGCATTGTGGGGGTGTCAGTGGTGCTGGAGGGGTCTGTGTGGGCTACATGGCCCTGAGGGGGGGCCTGTGACCAGGGGACCTTGGGGACGTGGTGTGGGTGGGTCTGAGTGGGTCAAGTGAGGCTGGAGGGGTTTATGAGGGGTCTGTGACCAGGGTGCCCTTGGGGATGTAGTGTGAGTGGCTCTGAGTGGATAAAGTGAGGCTGGAGGGGTTTATGAGGGGTCTGTGACCAGGGCAGGGGCTGTGGGTGCCCTTGGGGGCATGGTGTGAGTGGCTCTGAGTGGGTAAAGTGAGGCTGGAGGGGTTTATGAGGGGTCTGTGACCAGGGCAGGGGCTGTGGGTGCCCGTGGGGATGTGGTGTGAGTGGCTCTGAGTGGGTAAAGTGGCGCTGGAAGGGTTTATGAGGGGTCCATGGCCCTGGGGATGGTGTGGGCACCCCTGGGAGAAGCACACAACCAAAGGAGGTGGGGATTGAGCGGCCCTGAGGTGTTCCATGGTCCTGGAGGGAGTTTGGGGGTGTTTTCAGCACAGGGAATGCCCTGAAGGGGAGGTGAGGGAAGGCCTGTGCTCTTCCCAGGAGCTGGGTGAAGGTGGGGGTGTCCCAAAGCCTGTGCTCCTCTCAGGAGCTGGGTGAAGGTGTCCCCAGTCCTGCCCTGGGGAGCTGCAGGTGTTTTCTGTGTGGAAGGGTTTTTTTTTTTTTTTGCCTCGGTTGTTCTGCCCTAGCTGAGCAGGTGCTCTGGGTGTGCCCTGTGCAGGTGCTGGAGCAGCTCCAACCTGGGGCACTGGGCATGGTGCTGGTGGCTCAGCTGAGAACAGAGCAGGGTGCCCAGAAGAAATATGCAATAAAGCAGGTGAGCAGGTGGTTGCTATGAAAACAAGAGTGTGGCATGTTTGTTGTCTCCAGGGGCACGGTGATAGTAGCGGGAGAGACCCATGCTGGGCAGCTGAACTGCTGGATAAGAGCAGGCTTGCCTGTTACAGTGCTGCTTTTTGGGAAAATGGGATATTCAGATCAGTTTAGTGGAATGTTGAGGCTCAAAGTGGGGAAAGGGCAGCAGCCTAGTGAGGTCCCCTCAGTGCTCTCAGCTCAGTGCAGAAACACTGTCTGTCACACACATATTTTCAGCTCTGTTTTACCCATCTCCTGATACCAACACTGCCCCAAACACGAGGGATTTGACCTGTCATTGAAAATTGATGTCATTTGCACCTTGCTAAGAGTGTTCTGGCTTGAAGTTCCCTGATGTTTCTGTTGCAATATCAGCCCTGTCTTTTATTTGGTGCAGGTTGAATGCATTGACCAACACCAAGCAAATGTGGCCTTGAAGGAGGTATTGGTGCAGTCTTTTCTTTACTACTTCACTTACAAAGACCAAAGTCTTGGTAGAACCAAGTCTTTTATCTGCAAGGATTAGCTGAGTAAATAAGTAAATCAGGTAGGACTATTTGTGGGGTGTGCTCTCTGCCCTCTGCTTGGGCTCAGGCCAGGGTTTTGTAGTAATTGTTGTTATTTATGGATGTGTAAATTCAAATGGATAGCTCTTCTCAGAGGATAGTTCCTTCTCAGACTTTTTATTTGTTTTGTGAAGCCAAAGGACAAAACTCATCCTTTTGGCCTTTAAGCTGAAGGAGAACCTTGGTCTCTTTGTAGTTTATTATTAATAACTCGATGTCTAGGTAACATATTTCATTATATGCTCATTTCTCAGAGTTGAACATTTTTATTGTGAATGATTTTCTCCCTTTGTGGTACCCTTTTTTTTTTATGCAAAGTTTGTCATAGTGCCTTGAGTAAGTAACATCAGAAATTTTCTTAAAAGACCAAGAATGGTTTCAATAAAATAGTGGAATAGCACATGATGGATGAGTCTCCCAGTGCCCAGTATGCATGGCATCTGGAGTTGGAAAAGAAGGAGAATAAATACCTGCCTGTGCAGATATTTTATCCTGGTCAGACCTTTCTGACCTCTTTCTGTACCAAATATTGCATTACCAGTAAAACTTGTTCGAATTTTTCTATTGAAATAAATATTGAATTACATCTATTAAAATAAATGCAGTTGTGCCATTTGGGAGCCTGGCTCTTTTTAGCTTTTTCTTTTGTGCCTGCACAGCTGCAAACACAACTACAGGAGAGTGACCTGAATTCTTTTTATCTTCCACATAATCAGCAAATTTGCTGAAGCAGTGAGGATTTGTTAGAGCCCTGCACAGAAACCACCTTCAAGGAGATAAAAATATCTCCTGCCATTGTATTTGCTGAGGTTCAAGCTTGCATGGAGGTTACAGGAAATAATAGCTGCACTTGAAAAATCACCCTGACTTAGATTCTGAGAAATGTTTTCAGGTTAGGATGTTAGGAACTGAAGAAGGGGGTGGTTCACACATCATCTCCCTGTGGATCAGTTTCTATCTCTGTTTATATCTCACAAGGCTGTTGCAGTGCTGGGTGAAATATTTTCCTTCTTTCCACATTTGTGTATGCAAATATTTAACAGAGCTGGCACTTTGGAAGAGTTTGATCAGAAATGTGGCATGAACGAGTGAGGAACTGGCTTTGGGTGTTATTTAAGGTCCTGTTAAAGGGAAGGACTGTGTAGCTATAGAAAGCTGTCTCTATTTTATCTTTTTCTGTGCAGGCAATGGATTTGCTAAAACTCTGCCATGTTAACATCTGTACTTACAAAGAATTGTTCCTGACTTGGAATAATGAGGTGAGAATGGAACAGGATCAGTTAAACTGGAATGTGTGGTTGATGTTCTGGGCACACGAGCCTGTTCACAGATCACAGATTTAAATTTGGGATCATTGGGGTGAGATGCTAAAAAAGAAGGTTTTTTATTTGAAACAATCCTGATTTTTTCTTTGGCTCCTGAATACACACACTAAAAAGCTGTGAATATGTATGGATTGGAGTCCATCACATGGCAGACTCCAGATTCTGATGGGAATTAGTGTGCAATTCTGATTTTCATGCCTGCATGAAAACCATTCTATAGGGGACCACAAGAAGCTGAAAGCCCTGATTTGCTTATTGGCAGATTTTCTTCAGTGCTTGGACAGAACCTTTGATGATTTTATGGATGTATTATTTGATTTGAATCATCCTATACAGCTTCAGATAAGATGCTTGATAGTGGTGGTTTGTTTTATTTGCCAAAACAATAAGCATGCTGTATTTTTCATAAAAGAAATTAAATGTTGTCTCTTCTGTGAGAGAATAATCATCTCAGAACCCTTTTGTACTGTGAACATCACACCCAGCAGTTTGGTTTGTCTCTGTTACCTGCAAACAATTCAGGAATTTTGGTGCAATGTTTTATTGCAGGTCTCA